AAAGTAAAAGCAAAATAAAATTGCTAGATTATTGAATAAAACCAAAAAAGAACCAAAAAAATTTGGAACTGAAAAGTACAACCACAAAAATAAAAAATTCACTAGAGGGATTCGAAAGCAGATTTGAGCAGGCAGAAGAAAAAATCAGCAAACTTGAAGACAGGACAATGGAAAGTATTGAGTCTGAGGTACATAAAAAAAAGGGGTAAAGAAAAGTAAACAAAGAGTAATGGGCCTGTGGGACCATCAAACACACCAGCATGCACATTGTGGGAGTTCCTGAAGGAGAAAAGAGAAAGAGGCAGAGAGAATATTAAAAATAAATAAATAAATAATGGTTTGCCGGGTGCAGTGACTCACGCCTGTAATTCCAGCACTTTAGGAGGCCTAGGCGGACAGATCATAAGGTCAGGAGAAAAGACGAAGAGAATCTTGAGATTTAAAAAAAAAAATCAGAACATTTCTCACCAGAAACACTGGAGGCTGAAAGTACGTTAGTACTTTAAAGTACTTCTTTTAAAATACTAAAAGAACTGTCAACTAAGAATCCTTTATCTGGCAAAACTGTCCTTCAGAAATGAGGGAGAAATTAAGACATTCTCAGATAAAAGCTAAGGGAGTTTGTTACCACCAGAACTCCCTTGCAAGAAATGCTAAAGGGAGTCCTGTAGGTTGAAAAGAAGGGACGCCAGACAGGAACCTGAAGGCATATGAAGAAAGATCTTAATAAAGGCAAATACATGGACAATTATGAAAGCTAATATTCTTGTAAGAAATCTGTAACTCCACTTTTTGTTTTCTGCATTATTTAAGAAACCAATACTTTCTTTTTCTAACACTGGTTTGTAACTTCACATTTTGTTTTTTATATTAAGAGATTAATGCATTTTTAAAATTATTGTTTTATGTGTTTGAACACACAATGTATAAAGGTGTAATTTTGTAACATCAACAGTTGAAAGGAGTGGAGCTATTGCATGATATTGAAGTTAAGCTGATATAAATCCAAATGAAAGTGTTATAACTTAAGAATATTAAATGTAACACCACTTAAAAGAAAATAGCTGCAGAATATATACAAAAGGAAATGAGAATTTAAATGGTTTGCTACAAAAAGTCAGCTAAATACAAAAGAAGATAATAATCCAGGAAATGAAGGGCAAGTAGCTGTAAGGCTTGTAGAAAACAAACAGTAAAAGTAACTTCCTCCTTGTCATTCGGCCTTAAAAAAGGAAATTCTGACACGTGCTACAACAGAGATGAACCTTGAAGATACTATGCTAAGTAAAATAAGCCAGTCACAAAAAGACAAATACTGTGTGATTGCACTTCATAGGAAGTATTTAGAGCAGTCAAAATCATAGAGACAAAAAGTAGATTAGTGGTTGCCATAGTCTGGAAGGAAGAAGGAAATGGGGATTTATTGTTTAATGCAGTAGTCTCCAACCTTTTTGGCACCTGGGACCAGTTTCGCGGAAGACAACTTTTCCATAGACGGGTGGGAAATGGTTTCGGATGAAACTGTTCCACCTCAAGATCACCAGGCATCAGAGTCCCATAAGGAGCATGTAACCCAGATCCCTTACATGCACAGTTCACAACAGGGTTCACACACCTATGAGAATCTAATGCCATGGCTGATCTGACAGCAGGCGGAGCTCAGGCAGTAATGCTCACTCACCGGCCACTCATCTCCTGCTGTGTGGCCTGGTTCCTAACAGGCCGCACACTGTGGCCTGCAAGTTGGGGACCCCTGGTTTAACAGGTATAGAGTTTCAGTTTTATAAGCTATAAGATATAAGAGTTTTGGAGAGAGATGGTGGCGACTGTTGCATAACAATGTGAATGTACCTCATACCACTGAACTGTACACTTAAAAATGACTAAGGGCCAGGCACAGTGGCTCACGCCTATAATGCCTGCACTTTGGGAGGCCGAGGTGGGTGGATCACGAAGTCAAGAGACTGAGACCATCCAGGTTAACATGGTGAAACCCCGTCTCTACTAAAAATACAAAAATTAGCTGGGCATGGTGGCATATGTGATATTGTGCTGGCCTAGAGCCAGAACCGGAGCAAAACTATTTTATAAAATGCAAAACTGTTTTTAGATAAGTTGAAATGGCTGCCCCATTCTCCTCACAATAACTGTCCTTGGCCTCTGTAAATAGAACTGCTAGTTTGTTCTTCAAAACTATGAAAAGCTGCTTACCTTTTCTTATCAGTAACTGCCAGAATTGCTAGCCTTTGCTTACCGGCAATTGCCAGACTAAGCAGCCCAAGCTAGTTCCATCCTGGCTCCTGTGACTTGTAATAAGTAACTAAGGTCTGTGATTTCCACCTTAACCAGATAATGTGTAAACAAATGTTTATCTTGACTTCTGTAAACCACTTAAGTAACAAACGGAATGACAAAAGTCCCCTGGCCCTTGGAATGTCCGGAGACCCCCACCCTCATCTCTGCCCAGGAGGCAATTTACAGAATCCACTAGCGCTCGGAATGTCTGAAGCCTTTTCATCCCCATCCCCACCCCTCACCCCCACTCCCAAGGTGGTTTTTCGGGTATAAAAAATCGTGGCACCCTCCTTTTGCCACCACAGGTTGGAGAGACGTGAGTCCTCTGTGGTCGCCGGCATAATAAATGACCCTGCAATCTGGCATACTTTTGTCTTGTGATAACTTTCTACACTCAGTCAAATACAACACATACACCTGCAGTCCCAGCTACTCGGGAGGCTGAGGCAGGAGAATTGCTTGAACCCAGGAGGCGGAGACTGCGGTAAGCCAAGATCGCGCCTTTGCACTCCAGCCTGGGTTACAAGAGCGAAATACCGTCTCAAAAAAAAAAAAAAATGATTAAGATATGGCTGCGCATGGTGGCTCAAGCCTGTAATCCCAGCACTTTGGGAAGCCGAGGCAGGTGGATCACTTGGGACCAGGAGTTTGAGACTAGCCTGGCCAACATCTCTACTAAAAACAAACCAACAAACAAATACAAAAATTAGCCTGGTGTGGTGGCAGATGCCTGTAATCCTAGCTACTCAGGTGGCTGAGGAACGAGAATCTCTTGAAGGCAGGAGGCAAAGGTTGCAGTGGACTGATATGGAGCCACTGCACTCCAGCCTGTACGAGAGTGAGACTCTGTCTCAAAATAAAAAAAACAAAAAAACAAAACGAAAAATGTTAAGATGCTAAATTTCATGTTATGTGTATTTTACCACAATAAATTGGAAGAAAAAAAAAGAATTAACCTGGATCAATCTTATTACTTCCACTGCACTAGGCTGTAAGGCCTGGGAAAGGAAGGAAAGAAAGATACCAAGAAGCAGGCAACACAGAAATGATACAATCGATGGTGTACATAAAGCAGATATAGAAATGGTGTTACACTTAACACAGGGAGAGCACACAGCATTACCTGGCTTCTACTCCAGGCCTCGTGGGTGGCTTTCCTGGTGGTGGCCGAGGAAAGAACTGAGATGAAGTTGAGCTATTGACTTGATCTGTGTTGACCCATGAAACTGGCCTTGGAATTTTGCTCTTTCTAGACTGGGAGATGATAGGTGACAGAAAGCTATCTTCAGCTGACCTACTCAGGTGAGAATCTACTGTCAGTCTTGAAAAGGGAGTGAGAACTTCCTCCTCACAAAAGGAAGCAGGAACAGTAGCTAGTTTCTCTTCTAGCAATTTATCAGAGGCACTTGAGAGGTCGCCAAGGAAGGACTTGAATTGTCTTTTTTCCACCAGAAGCTTGACTAGGTCTGGCTGATAAGCTTTCTTTTGGAGGAGCTTTTCTTTTGCAGAGACTGGAAAGGATGATTCCAAAGTTGAGTCTATCTCTTGTGCTAAAACAGGGATTCGGCTGTGTCTAGTTACAAAGGATGACCTAACCATATCCTTCCGGGTTGGGGCGCCATGTTCATTCTCTGAAACACAATGAAACAGTTCTCCATTTCTAGGGGCAATTTTCTCTCTCTTACCCTCTTGGTGCAAAAAAGTAGAGAGGTCTCCTTGATGACCTGGCAAGTCTTCACTCATGATGTCATCATCCTTAGATATCTTACTTTTTTGCATTTCTGCCACCTGGCCTATCTGACCTTCAACATGTGGGTCAATGTCTCTGGGAGAAATTTCTGAAGTTCCAACTGTCAGAAGCTTCATTACCTCCTTATTTTTGTCTTGATTTGGCACCACACTAAAATTCTGTGTTTTTGTCACATCAAGAGGTTCAGTAGTAGCTGAGTGATCCTTTTCCACCATTAACAAATCTGGGAGAGAGGAGAGCTCAACACAATGCTGCCCTCTACTTAACTTCTCATCTTCATTATCTGACTCTAAAAGGATGCTTTTCTCTTCATTTTCCCCAGGGAGATTTTCAAATTCTCCCACAACCAGTCTGTTATGATCAGGAAGTTCTTTTGGTCCCAGATCTTGAGATTGGTTACTTTCTCTAAAGTTGGGTAACATGTCATGACCAACGTGATCTATCTGAAGCCCCAAATCTGTTCTGCTTCCTCCACTAGGAGGTTCACCCTCTGTCACAACCAAGCCAGAGAAGTTTTCCCTTGGAGAGTAAAGTTCCACAGTGGGCTCCATGGGCTGAAGATCTTTCTTCTCTGGCTGCTGACCATAGTGAAAGCTTCCTGAAGTTGACTGCGTAGATGCCACAGAAGGTCTAGGAATTGTAATCTGGAGAAGGGGGAGAAAAATTAAAATGTAATTATGTAAAATATCAATAAAGATACTGAGGTTTAACACCTCAAATTCTAATTTATAGGAAGAACAGAGATGTTGAGATTTAACACCTCAAATTCTAATTTATAGGAAGAACACAGATGTTGACCAGGTCTGCCCAACTTACATGAAAAATGGAACAATTCTGAATAACAATGAATGACATTCAAGATACCCTACTCAGAAACTGTGCAGAACAGTCTCTCCCTGTAGGTTTATTCCTGCCCCTTCTTTGGTGTGCTTTAGGCCTTGGAAGACTAATTTCTAAGGACTGCACCATATGTGCTTCCTTGCTTTCTGATTTGTGTTTAGATCTGCTCAATGGATGGTACCAACAGAGAATCAGAGTGTTACAGGAAAGAGAAGGCTGGGTAATGATTCTCCTTGTTTCCCCACTGAGGACTGTGGTGTTGGTCATGGCTACAATCCACTATCCTAGCCACAGCTCCCTTCTTGTGGCCTCTCTCTCAGCTACCACTCTCGCCAGGTTCGGCTAACACCTACTTCTACTCCCCTTCCAGGAATCATGGAAGGAATGGCTCCCTCTGTTGCTGGTCCCATTGGCTCTCTTAACTCTGCTCATACATCTGTAAAAAATTCCTTACATTAAATTATCTCCAAGTCCCTTTGAGTATGCCATCTATTTCCTGCCAGAAGCCAGATATAGGATTATAGGAAAAAACTTACTGGCAAATAATTGTTCATTGAAAAACTCCAAATTTTCCTGCATTTTGTTTTCCATAAATTCTATTAAATACTAGATTATATCTCGTATAAGTAAAGACATACAAAAGTATTTACAAGTGTTTTATGATTTCCCAATTTTTCTTTTTCTTTTTTTGAGACAGGGTCACTCTGTGTCACCTAGGCTGGAGTATAGTGGTACGATCTTGGTTTACTGCACCCTCTGCTTTCCAACTTCAAGTAATCCTCCCACCTCAGCCTCCCAAGTAGCTGGGACTACAGACATGCACCACCACACCTGGCTAATTTTTGTGTTTTTTGGAGAGATGGGGTTTCACCATGTTGATCAGGCTAGTTTCAAACTTCTGAGCTCAAGTGATCCATCTGCCTCAGCCTCCCAAAGTGCTGGATTACAAGTGTAAGTCACCACACCTGGCCAATTGTGTGTGTGTGTGTGTGTGTGTGTGTGTGTGTGTGTGTGTGTGTGTGTGTGTGTGAGAGAGAGAGATGGAGTCTCGCTCTGTTGCCCAGGCTGGAGTGCAATGGTGTGATCTCAGCTCACTGCAACCTCTGCTTCCTGGGTTCAAGCGATTCTCCCTGCCTCAGCCTCCTGAGTACCTGGGATTACAGGTGACCGCCACCATGCCCAGCTAATTTTTGTATATTTAGTAGAGATGGGATTTCACCATGTTGGTCAGGCTGGTCTTGAAGTCCTGACCTCAGGTGATCCACCCGCCTCAGCTTCCCAAAGTGCTGGGATTACAGGCGTGAGCCACCATGCCCGGCCCACACTGGGCCAATTTTTAAAGATCAAGCCTATGAGAAGTAAAAATCTACTCCCTTTTTTTTTTTTTTTTTTTTTTTTTTGAGACGGAGTTTCACTCATATTACCCAGGCTGGAGTGCAATGATGCGATCTCGGCTCACCGCAACCTCCGCCTCCTGGGTTCAGGCAATTCTCCTGCCTCAGCCTCCTGAGTAGCTGGGATTACAGGCACGCGCCACCATGCCCGGCTAATTTTTTGTATTTTTAGTAGAGACGGGGTTTCACCATGTTGACCAGGATGGTCTCGATCTCTTGACCTCGTGATCCACCCGCCTCGGCCTCCCAAAGTGCTGGGATTACAGGCTTGAGCCACCGCGCCCGGCCTCTACTCCCCTTTCACTGAAGTAGTTTTAATTCTATATGACATACGATTCATTATCTAATAAGAATGTCCTTAAGATACCTAAAGTTTTTATATTTTCATATCACCTAAAGTGACATGTAAGTAGGCTGAAAATAACTATATAAACAGGTAAAGGAAAAAAGTCTTTTTGAGAAAACAAGTAAGTTCAAATCACTTAATGAGACCCATTAAGTTCCAGGAAAACTACAGAAATTGGTCTGAATACAATACAGAATGAATCTGGAGTAGTCATGGGAGATTTAGTTTAGATTCAATCTCTAGTCCAAAGACGCCAAGAAACTATGCGGTTCCAGGGTCAGCTAACATGTTTAGATCTATTTCACTCTGTGTCAGGAATACTATTAGTTGCACATGGATATGTAAAACTCATGGATATGTAAACCTTGTCCTAAGCCCAGCCCAGGAAAAAAACATCTAATTAATGTCCTGGAATAGCTCCAAAATGGAAGCAGGGTCCTGAGGATCTTTCAGGCTAATCCAAGACAGGCTATTTGGGCTTAGATCTAAACTTTTAGAATAAGCGCAAATCTAAAATGATCTTGGGAAAAAGCATTAGGTTCTCTTGGTGCTGTTTTCCTTCAGGAAGTTATCTCATACTTCTATTTTATTTTAATTATTCTAAAATATATTTAGGCAGATGGCAATTTTCTAGTGTATTTTTTAAGTGATGTTGAAATCTAAAATTTATAGTAATTCACTTTTCAAAATTTACTTCTTAGTAAATGGACACAAAATTGACCATGATAAGAAAAGCAAGTGTGAAATTATATTAAATGTCAAATAACAAGGGAGATGATAGCCTATAATCAAAATTGGGCTGGGTATGGTGGCTTCATGCCTATAATCCCAGCACTGTGGGAGGCCAAGGCAGGTAGGTCACCTGAGGTCAGGAGTTCGAGACCAGCCTGGCCAACATGGTGAAACCCCATCTCTACTAAAACTACAAAAAATTAGCCCAGTGTGGTGGTGGTCACTTGTAATCCCAGCTTACTGGGAGGCTGAGGTGGGAAAACTGCTTGAACCCGGGAGGCGGAGGTTGCAGTGAGCTGAGATTATGCCACTGCCCTTCAGCCTGGGTGACAGAGCCAGACTCTGTCTCCAAAACAAACAAACAAAACCCAAAAACCCAGTCACCTCATTATTATATGTAATTTTAAGTACATCAGCCAAAATGAACACAGCAGTACTATAAAAATAATACTCCGGACCAGGATTTCAAGACCAGCCTAGCCAACATGGTAAAACCGCATCTCTACTAAAAATACGAAAATTGGACCGGGCATGGTGGCTCATGCCTATAATCCCAGCACTTTGGGAGGCCCAGGTAGGTGGATCACGAAGTCAAGAAATCAAGACCATCCTGGCCAACATGGTGAAACCCTGTCTCTGTCAAAAACACAAAAATTAGCTGGATGTAGTGGTATGCACCTGTAGTCCCAGCAACTTGGGACGCGAAGGCAGAAGAATCACTTGAACCTAGGAGGTGGAGGCTGCAGTGAACCAAGATTGTGCCACTGCATTCCAGCCTGGTGACAGACCAATACCACTTCTCAAAACAAAACAAACAAACAAATCCAGGCCAGGCACAGTGGCTCAGGCCTATAATCCCAGCACTTTGGGAGGCTGAGGCAGGTGGATCACTTGAGGTCGGGAGTTCAAGACCAGCCTGACCGACATGGAAAAACCTTGTCTCTACTAAAAATGCAACATTAGGCAGGCATGGTGGCACATGCCTGTAATCCCTGCTACTGGGAGGCTGAGACAGGGGAATCGCTTGAACCCTGGAGGCAGAGGCTGCGGTAATCTTAGATCGCCTCATTGCACTCCAGCCTGGGAAACAAGAGCGAAACTCTGTCTCAAAAAAAACCTACCAAAAATTAGCTGAGCGTGTTGGTGGGAACCTGTAATCCCAGCTACTTGGGAGGCGGAGGTTGCAGTAAGCCGAGATCATGCCACTGCACTCCAGCTTGGGCAAGAGAGCAACACTCTTTCTCAAAAAAAAACCAAAAAACAAAAAAACTCCATCAGCCTTCTGAGACTGAAGCTAGGGTTAATTTCTATAGTTCTGAGATTAACTCATTTTAGATTCAAGATATAAATGTGTATGTATATGTGGCATAAAAAAAGAGAGTGACAATTTTATACATAGAAAATATGTATGAGCCAAGCATGGTGGCCTGTGTCTATAATTCCAGCTACTCAAGAGCCTGAGGCAGGAAGATTGCTTGAGCCCAGGAGTTTGAGATCAGCCTGGGCAACACAGCAAGACCCTGCCTCAAACAAACAAACAAACAAAAAACCAACAACAATAATAAACATATATGAATCACCAGACAGGAGAATTTTTCTTAAAAAGATTCTGAGCAATTACAATAAACTGCATAAACTACTCTCATATAATATTTCCATAGGACTTTAAATTTCATAAGATATTCCCCAAATCATTTTTTACAAACCTCATTTCATAGTTTCTTTATATTTTAATAGGGTACTATTATCATTTTATTATTATTATTATTATTATTATTATTATTATTATTTTAGAGACAGAGTCTTGCTGTCACCCTGGCTAGAGTGCAGTGGTGCAATCACAGCTCACTGCAGCCTGCAACTCCTGGGCTCAAGCAATCCAACCACCTCAGCCTCCCAGGTAGCTGAGACTACAGGAACACAGCACCATATCCAGCTAATTAAAAAATTTTTTTTTACAGATAGGGTCTCACTATGCTGCCCAGGCTGGTCTTGAATTCCTACGCTCAAGACATGCTCCTGACTAAGCCTTCCAAAGTGCTGGGATTACAGGTATGAGCCACTGTGCCTATTCAGAATACTATTACTAACACAAATTCACAAATGAAGAAAAACACAGCCAAGAAGTCACAGATAGGACTTCAGGATTTTGAAAGTTGTGCACAGCACAGTACAGCCTACTGACAAGCACTACACACTCAAATAAAGTCTGAGAAACTAAGTCTGCAATATCTGACAAAATAAAAGGAGAAAACCAAGGATCAACAGTTGAGTATGAAGAAGAGAAAGCTAATTCCAAGTGTAGCTGCAAATAGCTTCCTTAAACTATGAA